AGGAAGGATTCCCCCCCACCCCTCTTTTTCTAGAGGATGATTTCCCCTCGCTGGTTAGATGAGACTAGTGTGTCCTTGATCAGCCAGGAGAATTTGTTTGGTGGCATCGCTGATTTCCCATTGCATGGAGTCTGATTTGACAGCTTTTGGCTGCAAAAATTCAGACTTCTGGAAATGATCTTGGCTAAATCTCTCCCCTAAAATTTGTTTTGAATGTGCATAATAGGGTAGTTTAAAATTAATGGTGTAATTTAAAAATTTTGTTTTAAAAGAAGAAAAAAACCCTCCCTGGCTTCTGTTGCATTGATTTCTGGAGTGCTGTAGTTACCACCCTGAGAAATCCGAGCGCAGTTAATGAGGGTGAGCTCTTCTCTCCGTGCTGGCAATTCACCCACAAGCAGCCAAATGATCTCCTGGTGGAGTTTGTTTTTGTGAATATTGGGGTGCTTGCTGAGCAGGGTCAGCTGGAGACATTCACTGCTGGAGGGAAAATGATGCAGAAGCCACGGTGAGCTTTGTACAGCGCCACAGCATGACACTGCTGCCACTCGCAGGGTCTGGAAATGAATTAACAAACATCTCCCCGCTTTGTGTGCGCTGGTAACTCACCTCCATCCAGACGTGCCACGCGCTCCTTTTCCTTCTAGACCCGGTGTTCCTCTTGCTGTTTCAGTAAGACTCGAACCTGAAACCAAACTATAGATCTGAATCACTACGGTCAGTGTGGTTTGTGTGATGCTTTGCTGAGATTTCATCTCTGAACTGCCCCTAAGGTCCTGTCTGCCCGAGCTGCCAGGCGCAATAGCTCAACACCTGCCGCAGCCTCACCCCAGAGGAGCGCGTCGTCCCATGTTCTTCTGGCTCTTCCCATTCCCTTTACTCTGCCTTCTCCTCAGATCCAAGCAGATCGAGTCCGCCTGCTTCAGCGGGACAGCCGCCTTCATGGAGGTGCGGATCCAGTCCGTAGTCGTGGAATTCATCCTGAACCACGTGGACGTCCTCTTCAGCTCCAAACTCAGCTCGGTCATTCGGGATGGAGCAGGTGTGTGTCTTACCTGGATCAAAAAAGGTAGCAGACACTTAATGGTGATCTGAGCCTCCCCTGGGACAGCTGAAATACATTTTTACTGCAACCTGGAGGACAGATTTGCAGGGTTATGATGTTAGAACCTGATAAATAAAGCCTGGTGACAGCAATTTCTATGAGTACCTTTATTGGAAGCCAAGGATGCTCTACAGAAGTGCACATCTTAATGTTTGGGGAATATTTTGACATCTGCTGTCCTGGTTATTTCCAACCCTGGAGCTCCTGAAACACCATTCAGCCTTGGAACATACAAATTCCCTTGAGTAAGTGCTGAGACTGTAAGTAGACCTGTTCCACTGAACAGGAGCAGAGTTGCACCGGGAAGAAAGTTTACTCGGTACGTTAGATCAGCAAACACAGATACCACAAGCTATTATTACTCCTAAGCAGCATTAACCGTGTACCATCTGCTTTGCTAACCCGTCCTTCCTCTGAAACACGCGCAGCCCGTGCAGCCACCACGCTCCCTGCACTACAGAGCTGTCTTTCCAGAATATTTGCTGCTCCCCACTTTTAAACAAGCCCTGCCTCTGCTCAGGGTAGCAGAGTAGCTCCAAGTCCAGCTTTTGTTCTCCTGGAAGGCAAGTTTAAGTCAACAGGAGCCAGAGGTTAGCGTGGCTGAGCCCTGCCAGGGGAAGATAAGCGTGCTAACAACCCGAGCCAAATGATTATCCAGGCTTAGAAGGGACCACGTAAATTCGGCTAATTGTTTAATGGCTTGGCCATTTGCATTCAGCGGCTCTGACACAGGCTGGCAGGGAGAAGGGTCAGGCTGTCTCGCTGTATACAGAAAAGCGCAGGAATACTGTGCTGCAGCAAGGCAGCATCCTCCTCAGGGCACGGGAACCCCACACCCCTTAACTCCTGTGAGAATAACCACATAAATACCCGCACAATAAACTATGTCCAACAAAAGCTGCTCTTGCAACAGGCTCCTTGTGCTTGCCGACTGAGCGGATCCTAGCAGCAGGAGGCAATAGCAGCTGTGGGTACCAAAATGTACGTGTTCATCTCCAAAAACAAGCACAAGCTGGACAAAGGCCAAGGGCACGACACACCCCTGAATTCTGTTCACTGTGTCCACCTGCACATACACGGCATCTCCTGCTGCACCGAGGGGGGAGCCTGGGAATGACCGACGCCAAGATGTACAAGAAGAAACCCCATCCCTGGCTCTACAGACGGACCTTCAGTGTGTCAGAGAAGTTCCTAACCTACCTGCCTCCTTCTGCCTTTTTTTTTTTTTTTTTAAATAAATAAACTAAGCTGCTCTAAATGATGAGAATTTGTGTGTCATAAACATAGCCTGACCGAATGGTTATTTTGCCCACGTCGTTCAGGGGCTGGGATAGCAGGGTTTAGGAAAACACTGCCCCTCCCTAGACACACAGACCCAGCGCTTTGATCTCTGTCCTGCTCTTTGCTCATTCTCCCTTGCCTGCGGTTTTCCCTTCCAGGGCACAGTTCTTTGTCACGGCCCAAGTCTCTGCTGGTGTCCTCTCCTTCCACAAAGCTGCTCACGCTGGAGGAGGCGCAGGCACGGACACAAGCCCAGATCAACTCCCCCATCGTGGCGGACAGCAAATACATCGAAGTGGGAGAAGGCCCTGCAGCGTTACAGGGGAAATTCCACACGGTCATAGACTTTCCAGCTGAAAGGTAGAGATGACTTTCCTTTCCAGCATGCGACATTACTGGGTTTTTGTGATTACACCAAAAACTTGCTGATACTGGCTTAGCCAAACAAGGTGAACACCTGGAAACATGGGGGTTTTCCAGATCCCGGGACAAATCCAGGTTCCCCTCAAAGTGGAACACCTGGACACCTGATGACACTAGAAATTAACTGTGGCAGTGGGAGGAGGCGGATGTGACTGTACAGCATGAGTAAGGGATGGTTTTGAATACCTTTTCTGGTTGCACAGGTCCTCAGCTGCCAGCTAAATCAGAACCATCCCTTAGCTGCTGTGCTGTACAGGTACAGAGCCTGCGCCCACCTGCCCTGCACTGTTTGGTGGATTTACCCAGCGAGACTTCAGGGCTGAGCTATAACAATTAAAATATCCTCAGCTATGTAAAAAGAGACCAAGTTTCCCAGTTTCATTGCATCAGAAATCAGACAGTGCTAATAACAAACAACCAGTAGCAGGACCTAAAGGCTGCTTCCCCTTCCAGCAATCTGTGATTCTATGACTTTGCTCCATTTTCTTACTCCAGGAAAAGACCGCCCAGCAAGATGAAGAAATCACCAGTTGGCAGCTGGCGTTCCTTCTTCAACCTGGGAAAATCATCCTCCGTGTCCAAACGCAAGCTACAGCGCAACCCCAGCGAGCCCTCGGAGATGAAAGCCATAGCCCTGGCAGGTAGGGTGCACACCCAGCTCCCACAGGCTGGGCTTTCGGCGCTGCAGAACTCGTGCTTACAGTGCGCTTGCTTTTATCTCCTTCTAACGTTCAGGCCACGCAGAACACCTTCCGTCAGCTGCTCACCAGCCCAGCCTGCTAGGCACACTTCTCACGCTTTTCTCAGACTGGCTTTGGAAAGACAATATGTGGGCACTGATAAAAAGTCACAGAATAATTCCTTCTGACACTCTTACTATGAAATGAGAATACAGTTCTGGACCACTTTGCTGCTTACAAACGACACCCAGTTAAACTGGGTAAAGGCACTTTTCCCCACACATTCACCCCAAAGCTGTACCAGCATAACTACAGAAGGCATCCAGCCACCTTTGTGCATCCACTGTACGCAGACTGAGTTCTCAGCCCTGTCCATATAGAGGTTACTGCCTCTTTCCACATTTAAAAATAGCGACAATATGCTTTTGTGATAAAACACACCACAAATCCCTACGCATGGGCCAGCGAGGACTGTTATCCCATCTTCTCCCTAGTGCCAGTTTCAATTATAACCCTCACAAGGCTGCAGTACAATACTCACATGAGATAAATGCCCTTTGAGACCGTCTCCTTGGAGCACCGCAGTCACATTTGTTTAGAGCTCACAAAACGAGTTGTGTAAATGTTACTTTCTTCCCCATTTTTAAGGGGTTTTGTTTGCTGGAAGGAGCCAACCAGTTGTCACAGGTACATCCAAAAAAGCACATCTGTTCCTCTCAGGACAGCAGTACTGTTGCTAAAAACCCATTTGTGTTTTTCCTGCCACTGTTACACAGCCAAATATAAACCACTTTTATAATTCAGCTTTTCACCACCTCGGTTGCGTTTCCTTAGGTGGACGAGGAGACAGCGGGACTCTCCGCTCGGCTAAGAGCGAAGAATCACTCACCTCTCTGCACGCTGTTGATGGTAAGACAGAATTGGACCGGCACTTTCAACGTGTGCGGATTAAAAGAGGCGGTTTGACATGGCTGACTGCAGATACTCAACAGGGCAGATTTTCCACCCCTCCAGTAAAATTTGGACTTGCTAATTAACGAAGCAGCTTACCGCTGCCCACCACAGATGGTTAGCACAGGGAAATGCTCGTCAGGTCTTTGTTTTCCTTCTAAGGTAAAAAACCCAAACCTCTTCTGTATAGCCAGCACCTCTTACGAAGGAAAATGCTTTCTGAGAAAGCCTTAAATCTACAGCACACTTAAACTAGTTTTGCTTTTGCACACAGCTTAGGTTCAGACCTGACAAGTGCTGTAAAAGAGTTTGAGCAAACCTAATCAACAGTTACTGCAAACTACGTTAGTTTTGTGTTTAGAGCTCACCAGGTGAGCATCTTTCACGCTGGTTTGAAAGCACCACCGAACCATCCCCGATTTGACACTAACCCACGTGTATCCCCTCCTTCCTAGGTGAATCTAAACTGTTCCGACCCAGAAGACCCAGGTCCAGTAGCGATGCACTGTCTGCTTCCTTCAACGGAGAGCTCTTGGGAAACATGAACCGCTGCAATTCCTACGACAACCTTCCCCACGACAACGACAGCGACGGGGATGAGGGGCTCATCCATGTTCCTGCCCTGATTTCTCCTCGATCTGCTGAAGACGTGGACCTGAGCCCGCCGGATATCGGAGTCGCTAGCCTGGATTTTGACCCGATGTCTTTCCAGTGCAGCCCACCCCAAGCGGAGTCCGAGTGCCTGGACAGCAGCACCTCCCTGCTGGAGTCGGTGGGCTTCACCAAGGAGAAGCCGAGCCTACTAAAGAAGGATTTAGAATCGGGCAGCCAGTCCCAGACACCAGGCAGTGCCACGAGCTCTGAGCCAGTCTCCCCTTTCCAAGAGAAGATGAGTCCCTTCTTTACTCTGGACCTGAGCCCAACCGAGGAGGCAGCCTGCAAGCCCCCCACCTTCTCGCCCAAGCTGGGGCAAAAGCCCCTCAAATCTCCGCCGCTGACTACACCTGAACCCGTCTCCTTCGCGCTGCCCGGCCGCGCGTCAGAAGCGCTTGGAGGAGCGCCCATCGCATCCAGAAACTCCTCTGCTTCCAGCTGGAGCAGAGGGATTGGCATCACTGATATCCCAAACAGGTCCCCAACCCAGATGTCCCTGTCCCTGAGAAACAGTGACACAGGAGCAGGGGAAGGAGGCCACCAAGAGCTACAGCATGCCCAGCTAGTGGCTGCTGCCAAACCAGAGTTGCCAGAAGAAGGGGAGAGACCAGTGTCAAGCAGTCAGAATAAGACTGTACCCACAGGACACACACAGCCAGGTACAGTGCATTTTCCTCCATTCTTTCTTTAAGTTCCAAAGGGGACCTGCTCTCCAAACTGCCCTCCTCTGCGTGCCTTTTAGGAGAGGGGATTGCCCGTCAGTTCTGATCACAGGTGTCTTGCAGGGCTGTGCAGATCAGTAGGGTCTTAACCTCTGCCTTCTCCCTACATCACACAAATCTTGGATAATTTTCCATAGTACTTTCCATACCACCTTTTTTCCCCCATCCTGTCATACATGAAAATCTGTAGCATGTCCTAAATAATTTGAGATGATAGACCTTCTAAGACTTTTTTTTTTTTTTTTTAATAAAAATCTGCCAATACACGAAGAAGGGACCTTTTTGCCTAAAACCTTCTGAACACAATTGTGTCAGGGTATCTCATTCTCTGCTACCTACTTCCTACCTCTCTAGAAATGCAAGAGGAGCCTTTAGACAATCTCTTGTGTTTTTTCCTTTTTGTGATGAACTGCTGTGCTGTTGAGCAGCGTTTGCATGTGAGACAGAAGATAATGATGTTTCACATCAGAAGGAATTGCCACTGTGAAAGTGGGGAAAGCCTCTATTTTTTTATAATAGTCATTAAGGTTAGGTCACTCTCCTTATTGGGTAACATTAAATCACTCACTCTCTCAATTTTCCCCCCATTAGGAGCAGTCACCCTCGACTCCCCCCAGGATCCTGTTCCCGTCAGTTCTGTGTCTCTTATCCCTCCTCCTCCTCCGAAAAACGCAGCGCGCATGCTAGCCCTAGCGTTAGCCGAGTCCGCCCAGCAAGCGTCCGCTCAGTCTCAGAAAAGGCCAGGAGATGCTCATGCTGAAAGCACCAATTATGGAGAGGCTGAAGCTGGCACAGCTCTAGAAAAGCTCCATCTCTCTGCTGGTGCTCCAGACAAGCTTCACCTGTATACTGCTCTGCCCGAGAACCGACTCCAGTTCCAGACTGGTGCACCAGTAGAGCAGGATTTCCAAGGTAGCAGCACCCTCGGGGAGCAGAACCACCCTCCGGGCGCACCTGGGACCCGGGACCCCCCCGCTCTGCATGCTGGCCTCCCCGGGGACGTGCCCGGTAGCAGAGATGCAGAGCAGGAGCAGTCCAGCTTCCATCCTGGCAAACCGGGGGACACAGAGCCCTACCCCTGCCACGCTGGGGCCTGGGAGCACACACCCCACCCCCCTGCGGGCGCACCGCCGGACTGGGAGCCACCCGCAGCAGAGGGGGCTGGGGATAAGCCCCAGCTCCGCTCGTGCGCGTCTGGGGACAAGCACCACGTTCCCGTCTG